AGCGAAGACATTTTTCTAAATTAAGAACAAGATGAATGGGTGTATTTTCTCCTTTTCAGAGTGGCAGATTAACCGAGGGCAGTCTGCTATAGCTGTGAGAAGGCTTAAAAGGCTATTAAAGACTTCCGCAAGCAGCAACAGGGTTTGGCCTGAAGGGCTAAAAGGAAGGAATGGTTTGCTTGCTGGTTCTTTGGTTTTGTTTAAAGGTTTCATTGGCGGCTTCGTTAGGTTTGTAATGGTCAGGGCTTTTCAATTTGTATATAAGAGTTCTCTTTTTACTTCATATAATAATAAATTATATTTATTTTGTTAATAAAATAAATTTTATAAAAATATAGTATATAAAATTTAAGTGTAAATTAATTTTTCCCCTGAAATTATATGAATTACAATTGTTGGAGTTGTAATTTCAAGGAGAATCACTTAACTAATAATTTTGGAGGATGACAGTAATGGGACATATGAAGTTCCTCTTGTCTGTTGAGGATACTAATTCTTCTTTCTTTCTTTCTTTTTTTTTCTTTTTTTTTCATTAAAAAGAAAAAAAGATATGAAATTTTTTCATGTGGAGACCATGGAACAATCGAACAAATCAATTGGAATTAGGAAATGAGACTAACCGGAGAAATCGAGTAAGTTCAGTAGCTCTAACAAGATCATTGTTCTCCCTAGCCTTGAGGATCTGAAACATGAGGGCTAGACGAAGTTGAGTGTTCTTGCTCTGCATTGTTATCTGCCTAGTTTCCTCCCGGAGCTGCTTGCATTCTTCTTCCATCGCCTCAAATTTTTCCCTAACTTGCCTCTGCCCCTCCCTTATCTGTTTCTGCTCCTCACCTATCTCTTCCATTTCTTTTTTCAACTTCTTCATGCTCCTCTCCATCTTCTCCATAGTCCTCTTCCTCCGCAGCTGCAATTAAAACATTAATTATAAAAATGTAATGGCTAAACCTGACATAGGGATGGCTGAAACTTCCATGTTCGAAACTTAGAACATTCGATCAAATTTACCCAAAAAAATTATAAATTTATTTACCTGTTGTTTGGTTCGTGAACATCTGGAGAGACGTTTAGGAATAAGGAAAGGGGAACTCCTCTTGCCTTCACTTTTTCCTTGGGTGCTACAAACTCCGTTTCCGTAGATTTTGAGGAAGGCCATTATTTAACTGTCCAACTAAAATCGCCTTATTTCTTAGCTTCTCCTTTTATTTAGTAATTACAGGATGAGGCTCCTCGACAACTTCCTCCATACATATATATAAGAAGAGATCGTGTTACAGCCATGATGGTAACATCAGCACCTTTAACAGGAGCAGAGACTAAACTTCAGGTGGGCCCATTTAAGAGTCAGCTTTTTCCCGCTTGACCACGGGCTCTGCCAGTTGCGGTCCTTGCGGAGTTAGGGGGCCCAGCCCTTCTCTGAATAAAAATATGAAGTTTAATTATAAAATAAAAAATTAAAATATATATGCCACTTTTTTATCTCTAAATAATTATTTTTTAAAATTAAAAATTTGAGATAATATTTATAGATAATAACATATCAATCCCCGCCAATTAACAAAAATTGAAGTTCTATACTCCAACGGCACCGTTCATTTAAAATAAATCCCCAGCCTCTACCATTTTCACCCTTTTTGCCGCTGCAATTCTCCATCTCCACGCTTTCTGTGATCCATCATCTCCACGCCTCCTCCTGCAATTCAATCAATTTATTGGACACAATCTACAGCAAGTCCATAATAGATCAACAATGAAGAGCTTGAAGCTAGCAAAGCAAAGGTCCAGTTTTGGGCTCCACCCCACTAATGGTTTGCAGAGAGAGAAGTTTCAAAACACAGAGAGCCAACGTCAAAAAAAAAAAAAAGACACACAGAGAGTCAAAGAAATCTAGTTTTATGGGCAATGAAATTGTGCATCATGATGTTAAGCCAGTTAAGGCCGTTTTACAAAGTTTTCCCTCGATTCCTTCTCTGTTGCCTTCGCTACGGTTTTTGTCAGACAAATTGAATGAATTGCAAGGGAAGGCATGGAGAAGATGAATCGGAAGAAAATGTGTAAAGAAGGATTTTTTTATTTAAAAATGTTAATTTTATTAGTTTTTAAATAAAAGTGTTAATTTTAAATTTTTTATTTAAAGATATTATTTTTTATTTTTTTATTTAAAAATTAATTAAATAATAATGTTAGGGTGATAAATAAATTTTTTAATTAAAGTATTAAAAATCGATATTTCAAAAAAAATAAAAATTAATATTTTTATTTAAAAATTAATAAAGATAATATTTTTAAATTAAAAAATATAAAATTGATATTTTTATTTATAATTTTTTTTCAATAAATGGTTAAATATAAAGTTAATCTTTTTGCATAAAAAATTAAAAATTAATATATTTATTTAAAAATTAATAAAATTAATATTTTTAAATAAAAAAATAAAATTCACATCTTTATTTATATATATATTTTTAGTGAATTGTAGAAAACGTGAAGATTAATTTTAAAAGAAATGAGTGCGGCTGGGGCTTGGGTCTCTAATTATTATTAAGTGTTGGATTTGTATTTTTTTTTTTAATACAATAAAAGCAAAAAAGATTTTTTTTTGTGTTATTAAATAATTAATTAAAATGAATAGATGGTAATAAAATTAAAGTAAAAAAATATTTATTTACTTTTAAAATGAAAAATCAATAATTAATTTAATATAAATTCAAAATAAAAAAGCATAGTTATTTTGAAGCAAAAGAAGTAATTATTATGACCAATAATTTGTTGTTTCGAATTGAAAAAGTTTTATTTATTTTAAATTTAAATATTATAAATAAAAAAACAAATATAGAGAGAATTTTCTCCTTATAAGTTTTGACACATTCAATTTCAAATTATTTAAAATCTGATAAAATTACTAGATACTAAAAAATTAACACTGCTTGGTGTTATTGCCACAGCTACCACTGTTAATACCACAGTTTTTTTAATTATTTGACTATTATACCCCTCATTTGAATCCGCAGCAGTCACCACCTTCTCCGCGTGGGTTAATGGTCAATTAATTAAAAAAACTGTGGTGTTAACCTGTGAAGCTGTGGCAATAACGCCACCCATTAACACTAACAAAAGAAGAAGTAATTATTAGCTAAAACTGAAAAACTTAAAGTTAATTATCAATTATATGTAATTTATTGCCTAAACTCATGCTCTTTTTTTTTAACCAACGCAAAATCAAAGATGATTGATAGATATTTAATTCAACATTCTTTTTAACTCTCATCCCATCTTAGTTATTAAAATATAATGTATATATATAACCAGTTTAGTTAATTACTGTATTATGTATGTATAATTATTTTTTTAATTTATCTATTTTTAATTTTATATCAAAAAATAATAATTTTTTAATAAATATATTTTTCAATATTATGCATATATCAATCACTGTCCTTTATAGTTATTAATTATTATAACTGTTAATAGTTTTTGCCGTTGGACTTTAAATTATTAATTATTTGGTTTTTAATTTTCTTATCTTAATTACTAATTGATTATATTATTTGATTTTTAATTTATTTAGTAGAGAGATTTTAGTCTTTTAATTAATTTTATCAGTGATGAGAAAGAATCATTTTTATTTTCAAGTTGTTGTGAGTTTGTACTATTTTTTTTTATCTTAGTTTATATCTATTTCATGATTAATTGTCAACTTTGTCATCAAATGTTTTAGCCTTTGATTTAAATTTTATATTTATTCTTATATTAGTCCCCTACAATGCAAATATAAAATTGTATATTTAATTTGTAATTTAATTTATTTTTAGAAAGGTTTTAGTTTTAATAATTTGTTTTAATCAATTTAAAGAGCTTTTTTTTTTTAGTTTTTATTTATTATTTTGTTTGTTATAATTATTTTATTTTTAAAATTTTAAGATTTAGGTATTTTGCATGTTAAGTTGTAGGACTTAGATAATTATATTAGAAGAAATGAAATTAATTTTATCTCTTTTTCTTATATCATTATTTTTTAGCTATGTTCATATTTTGTCATTGTTGTATTCTTATTTTTTCATTAATTTTAGAGTATTTTTTTGTAATTTATAAATTATCTTATAATAATAAGAAATTATGAAGGTTGAACAATGCATTTAATTAAAAGAAATTTTTTTATAATTTGTAGTTGTGCTCCCTCTAATCTTAAATTCTAACTACATGTATATTATACTCTTTTAATTTAGTTTTAGTTTTTGTGAAATTCTTATACATTTGTTAAAGTAAAAGGTGCAAATCTCCCTTGAAATTTATCGTATTGAAGCAAATCTTCACTTAAAAAAAATTGCAATAATTTGTTTCCGTAAATTTTTAATTTGAAGAAATTAGCTCAAATTTAATTATTATTACTAACTTTCCATTAGACTTAAAGAGTAACAATTTAATAGAATTTAATGACAATTATTAAATTTATGTCAATTTCTTAAAATCAAGTGACAAATTACATTAATTCTTTTAAAACGGTGATTTTCTTCAACCCAATAATCTTAGAAAACAATTTGCACATTTTGCCCATTTGTTAACTTCATCTCATGTGTAAGCCTCTACTTCAACTGTAACTAGGGTAAGAGAAATGTTATAGAGATTCTCTTTAATATTTTTTTATGGATATTTTTTATATTATTGAAACATGTATAAAATAAATTTAATTTAATTAATTATAAATTTAAAATTTAAAAATATTAATTTTAATATCATTTACTAATTATTAATTACTAATCGCATTAAATTTAGTCACACATAATGCATGGGTAGAGTTATCGCCATAACTACAAGAGCAGTCCTAGGGCGAACGCCATTTGCACTCACCAACAAACACTTACCCATTCATTTGGCCACCTCGCCACTTTTTTAAATATATACATATTTTTTATCATAATTGCATAATAAGAAGTAATCATTTTTCATTCCTAATCTCACTCCATTTATATGTTATACAACTCGAATTTAAAACTTCTTACTTTCAATAAAAAAAAATGATCATTGAACTACTTACGTAATTTTTTAACTTTTATACAGAGCATACAAAATAAAAAGTATATTTATTATATTTTTTTAAATATTAATTAATATAAAAATAAAAATTAATTTAAATTTGTTAATTGTTAAATTAAA